GGATAGAACAGGTGGAAATTTACGCAGCTCATTTACGCACTTTTCCTGAAGATAGAAGAGTTTGTTGAATCTGACCTGACATGTTCGTACGAACCCTTCATACGAACAAAAGTAAGAGAAATTTAGGATAAGAATACGAACATGTTCTTGCATGAGGCCCAATGAGAAACTGATCATGATCATTCAAGAAAAGATAATCATCGCAGTATCTCGAGAAAACATTCATTGTTATTTTGTGTTAACGACATGCACTGACTGGCCAAACAAAGGGCCACCAAAAAGAAAGGTCACACACTAATATTTGGTTGGATCTTCAGCTTTGATTACGGCACACATTCYCTGTGGCATTGTTTGGATAAGCTTCTGCAATGTCACAAGATTTATTTCCATCCAGTGTTGCATTATTTTTTTCACCAAGATCTTGCAGTGATGATGATAGAGTCTGACCTTCTTCAGCACATCCCAAAGATTCTCAGTGGACTCTGTGGAGTCAGTCCATGTAAAAATGATGTCTCATGCTCCCTGAACCACTCTTTCACAACTCCAGCCCCATGAATCCTGGCATTGTCATCTTGGAATATGACCATGCCATCAGGGAAGAAACAATTCACTGATGGAATAACCTGGTCATTCAGTATATTCAGGTCACCTGATCTCATTCTTTGAGCACAGACTGTTGCTGAACCTAGACCTGACCAACTGCAGCAACCCCACATCATAGACCTGAGTTAAATCCAGGTGGAGACATTTCTTTTGGCCAGACAGTGTAATTAACTCATTATCTCAAGAAAACCATCAGGAAAAATTATATGCAGAAAATGTCCTCTCTCGTCTTTTGTGATTTTGTTCAATCCAAGCAAAAATGTTTCATACGTTATATTTTGCATGACTTAGTGCTTTTTGAATGTGTCTTGAGGATGACTGTCAGTTACATGAACCACTCATGGTACATGAGGCATTTTGCCTCAAGCAGCTCAAGTATCTGGGTGCCTTCTTCACAAGACGGGCGAATGGAGTGGAAGATGGATCGACAGATGGAAGCCTCATTCACAGTGAATGGTAAATGGACTGTACTTATATAGCGCCTTTCTATCCATCCAGGATACTCAAAGCTCTTCACACTGCAATCTGTGTCCTCATTTACCCATTCACACAGCACTCTATTAGGTCTCTACAAAGCTAACATGTACAATAATCTATGGAGACTAATCAGTGCCAATTGCATTCATACACTGATGGGACACACATCAGAGGCRTTAGGGRTGAAGTATCTTTCCCAAGGACACAACTGAGACAGCTGGAYGGGGGATCAAACTGGCAAYCTTCCAGTTCCAGGACGACTCCCCTAACCACTCTGCCACAGCTTCCCCCAGTGATTTGGATGTTACTCCAGTCTACCTTGGAGAAGATAAAACATTGCCAGTAGGAGGAGGTTGGAGCTGATTTTTATTTTCATGGTTATGTCACACTGAAAGGTGACCCTGGAGCAGATCCAGAACTTGCTGGAGGGATTATGAATCCTCTCTGGCCTGTGGACGTTATGGAAGTAGCTTGAGCATGTCACTGGGGAAGGGGCTGTCTGGGTTTCCTTCCTGGACCTGACTTCTGTCACAACCTGACCAAAGATAAGCTGGATTGATGGATGAATG